GCAGTCTTACTGTGGAGAAAGAGATACTTTAAAAAAAATAGGAAAAACCTTTGGTCTATGAGATCAGCTAAGAATACACACCTTGCTTGGAGCTTTGGGGCTGAGCATTGCAGGTCGAGATTGCCCTCTGGTGGTCATAGTTCAGACTTACAAGCAAAGATTAAACTTGACAAGCTTGATCCTGCATCAGACAATCCTCACCCCTAATGTTTGCCAGGGCCTGGGGTAAAAATACAAATGGACGGGGCACCTGGGTGGCTCAGTCGTTAGGCGTCTGCCTTCGGCTCAGGTCATGGTCCCAGGGTCCTGGGATCGAGCCCCGCATCGGGCTCCCTGCTCAGTGGGAGGCCTGCTTCTCCCTCTCCCACTCCCCCTGCTTGTGCTCCCTCTCTCGCTGTCTCTCTCTCTGTCAAATAAATAAATAAAATTTAAAAAAAAAAAAATACAAATGGACATCCACGTACCATTTCTGTTTTATACATATGTAAAAGTTATAAATCAGGCTAGCAAATAAATAAAAGGTGTTCTATTATTCTACCTAGAAACAAATACTTTCTTTTTTAAAATTTTTTCAGATTTTTTCAAATTTTTATTTAAATTCTAGTTACTTAACATATACTGTAATATTGGTTTCAGGAGTAGAATTTAGTGATTCATCACTTACATATCACACGCAGTGCTCAAACAGCAAGTGTTCTCCTTAATACCCATCACCCACTTAGGCCCATCCCCCTGCCCACCTCCCCGCAGCAACCCTTAGTTTATTGTCTATCGTTAAGAGCCTCATGGTTTGCTTCCCTCTTTTTTTCCCCTTTCCCTATGTTCATCTGTGTTGTTTCTTAGATTCAACATGTGAGTGAAATCATATGGTATTGTCTTTCTCTGACTGACTTATTTCACTTAGCATGATATCCTCTGATTCCATTCATGTCATTGGAAATGGCAAGATTTCATCTTTTTTGATAGCTGAGTAATATTCCATTATATATCTATCTATATATATATCTATATTATATATATGTGTGTGTATATATAGATATATCTCACATCTTTATCCATTCATCATTTGGATGGACATTTGGGCTCTTTCCATAATTTGGCTATTGTTGATAATGCTGCTATAAACATCTGGGTGCATGTATCCCTTTGAATCGGTATTTTTGTATCCTTTGGGTAAATACTTAGTAGTGCAATTGCTGGGTTGTAAGGTAGTTTTATTTTTAACTGAAAAAGATACTTCAAAATAACCTGGAAGCCCATTCGAAGTAAAAGTCTCTCACTCCTTAGAATCTATATCAAACATGGAGGCATGAAGACAGTCTCAGATCTAACCTCACTCTTTCCAGCTCTTCTCTGTTGTAACTTCCAGGGACCACTCCCTCATGCCTGCAGACACCCCAGCCTCCTGCCTGAGCTCCATCCACATACCTGTAAAGAGCCCTAACTTTCCTGTGAGGTACATGATTACCAATGGCACAGTCAGGAGCAAACACAGAAGACAAGACTGTGCAGGTTCCAGAAGCATTCTTGAGGCCATTTGTGCAAGGTATTCTGGAGCTCTAGGTCTCCAGAGCATGATCTGGAAAATGGTAGTAATTGAGGTGGTGTGAGCTCTTAGAGGGCAGGTCTGGTGACCAAACTGGTTACCTGAATCTGACTTGCTTTTAGCAGTGGAAATCTCATGTCCTGTGAACCCCTTCATTGGGATGTTAAAAGCCCCACTTTTCAATATTGTGTCAGATTAAAAAAGAAGAGTGAAAAATCCATATAACAGCAACCCTGTTTTAGTGTCAAATGGATTTGGTGCAGATTATCCATCTTCCATAGTCGTTCGTTGTTAGTGGGTTGTCCCCTGATCTTTTCTGTTGGCAAATGTAGTTCGTGCTCCACAATGACGGATGGTCCATTGCTGCTCCGTCTGAATGACGTGACCAAAGCCAGCATCTGAAGTGGGTCCTCATTCTGAATCTGAACAGTAGGCAGCAGCTCTGCCTGTGGATTAACTGTTGTGTTTTGTATCGAGATAGTTGAGTATGATTTTTCACATTGTGAGTATTGTCATCACGTTTCCAGAACTCTTTTGAAAAGTTTAGATAATTAAAATGAAAGTAATTACATAGTATTTGTTTAGTCTTATTAATTACTATTTACTGCCACTGTTAATTAGCCAATTGTTTTGTTTAAATAATAACATTTATGTGAGAGAGAAATAAATAATGCCAAATATGGTAATATAATTTCAAATGGATGCTTATTTCTCATATTTTAGTGACAAATTATTAACACTTATGTACATAATTACTTTTTATTACTATTAATTATTATCATTATTGTTATTTTGTCTACTATGGCTGTGCCCCTGACTGGTTCTTTAAAAAGCTGATCATCCTAAAAGCGAGTTGTACTGGCCCCAGGACCCCTTGCCTTTTGAAGAAGGATGTGACCTGTGAGGGGTCAGAGTGGGGTCTAAGACGTCACTGCAAATGGCTCCCAATGTACCATGAGGCCAAATTCTGATTGATACCTTAAAAAAAAAACTATTTGTGGATAATTAAAAACAAATACCATAATCGAGTTTGGTTTGAAATCTACAGCTGCCAAAAACCATGTGGGCCAATAGATTTGTGAGTTTACAAAGGACATTACTTTGCAAAAAAAAAAAAAATCATTTATTTTTGATGATGCTTAACATTCAAGAACTCAGTTTTTTAATGTTACTGGGAAGCAGATGCTAAACTGCAAAAATTAACTAGCGATTGCATTCCAGAAAGCAATAATATCCGACTTCTTTATTAAGTTTACTGTTATGTGAACAAAGAAAGAGGAGAGCATTTCTTCCATTAGCAAAGCAAATAGGACATCTGTGCGTAAGAAAATGCAAGTCAGAATTTGGTGGGTGAAATTCATTGTTGTGAAAGGAATAATTGGCTTGTAGGTCCCACAAGTTTTATATCCCAGATCTTAAATCGGATAGGATCTCACAGGTTTCAAGCATTTCTTATCATTGGTGTTTAGTTTTATTTGATTTTAACCCTATATAGATTGTATTGAGACAACAAAAAACAAATTTCAGACTAACAACGGGGGAGGAGAAACTCAGCCTCTGAGCCTCACTGTCTTGGCTTGACGCTCTGTAAGCTGAGAATTTGGGGGATCCTGCTCACCTGCATGATGCGGCCTAGGAATGAGGAAAGTGTAGGGCCTGTGTGCCCCACAGAACAAACACTGAATATTACCCACACCATCTAACTGGTATTCCTTTATGGTTTTTGTTTGCTTTCTTTTGAAATCGTCCCTGAGTCTTTACTAAAGTCTTCTAAAAATTACTAATCAAATCCTAGCTGTACATGGGCACAGGATGAAAAGGATTCAGTGTCCCCTTGTCCCCAGCAGGACTAGGTGGGGGAACATAGGTGAAGGTGACCCTCATGTACAAGGTTTAGGACTTTAAGGCCTGTCCCCTTTCCCAGGTGAAAATTAGGCCTATAATATCAACCTCAAAACAGTGTGTTGATATTTTTATTAACAGAAACAGTGGTTTCATTCTACATGAATCACCCAGCATGGAGAGCTTTTAGTCATCAACATAGTCAGATTTTTCTGGGCAGTATTCCGGGCTTTCCCTCCAATGCACTGCTGCATCCCTTCGTAGCATCTCTTAGGGAGTAGCTATACTCTACACCATTTTTGTTCCTCCTCTCCATCATTACAAAGGATGATTCTTCTTTTCTAATAGAGATGTGGGGAGAGTGTGTGTCAGATACCATAACTGTATCCTAAATCAGGTTCTTCTCAAGGATGCTTGTGATGGCTAATTTTCTGTCACCTTGGGCCATGATGCCCAGATATTTGGTCAAACATGATTCTGGATGTTTTTGTGAGGGTGTTTTGCTTGGATGAGATGAACATGTAAATCAAAAGGCAGTCAACCTTTCAACTTGGCGCTTCCCGGGTCTCCAGCCTGCTGGTCTACCTTGCAGATTTTGGAATTTCCAGCCTCCATAATGACATAAGCCAATTTCTTAAAATCTTTCTCTATCTCTCTATCTATCTATCATCTATCTATCTATCTATCTAATCTATCTATCTATCTATCTATCTATCTATCTATCTATCTATCTATCTATATACATAGTCAGAGTGGGGTTTAAGGACCGGAGGGACCTGGAAAGTAGTCAAATGTTTTCCAAGTGGCATAATAGGACATTGAGGGCTGAGGAATCTGAAAGGCCTCTTGGACAGGATGAGACAAGCTGCCAAGCTCCATTTGACCAGTACCCATATGGGGAGGGGGATTGCTCAGCAGATGCTAACTTGGGCAGAGGCTGCCTCCAATGATCAGGTACCTCCTCTTGAGGCCATGATACTAGATTGGGCCTCAGGAATGTAGATACTGTCCCAGATATATGTGTGTGTGCATAGTGGGAGGCAAGCCTAAATTAATGGAGTTTACTCTAAATTGGCAAGATTAAAGTTTTCTAGCTTTCTACCGTCAGATGAAATGAGATCTTAAGATAGAAAATAAATCAATAAAAAGTTACATATATTTGTGAACAAACCACGTGGATTTACTATTTATTCCCATTTTGATCATTTACTTCTAATGGGTCAATTAATTCATTTTACAAATACAAACTTTCAGTGTAAGGAGAAAGAATCATTCTTCTAAAAATAAAGAAGGAAACTAAAATAGAATTTGCAAATTGATGAACCATGTGGAAGAGCCTCCTCCGTTCCCACATCATTAACTATTCATTGCTATACTGGTGACTTCTAAGACTTACGAGAGCCTCCTCTTTCCTCCGCTTCACCACTGGAGCATTTCCAACCTCCTGTCACAAACTCAGCACACTCAGGGAGAAGAAGAAGGCTGGACTGGGGCCACAAAATATCTCTGCTCTAATCCCTAAACCAGTGTTCAGTAGGAACATAGTAAGTTTTTAACTGAATGAACGAATGCATGAATATTTAACTTGCTTTTTAAAGAAATCAACAAAGGGATCTGTCTACAGGCAATTTTATTTGGTTTTGGAAATTTAGATTGATTTTTCTATCACTTTGCAAATAGAATAGGAGTAACTTGCTCCTCTGTGGGGTTCTGAATGAGGAAGTGTCCATACCTGTTCGCTATTAACCAGTAATCAGGTAGGGAAAGGAAAGTCTCTGGCCATGAAAATTCCTCTCTGTGAAGACTAACAGCTCTCAACAAAGGAGGAGCAGGAACATAACTAAGGCTGAGGTCCTCTTCAGATTATTCCAGACATTCTTATTCGCTGGGTCCACAGGCCCTCCAATGGGGGAGAGGGTAAGGGAAAACCCGTGTTTGCTGGTTTTGCATTGTTGGGCAGAAGGCAGTCTCTTAATCACGTTGGTGGAGAATTGCCTCTAAGGTCTTATCCCTGACGGTCTTCAGGAACCTCAGAACTACAGTCCCGCCTGTGCCCCTCTCTTCTAAGGCTTGAGATGGCCCAGGGAGAGGGTTTGGCCTCCTGCCCTTTGCTTTGGTAGCCGCTGTGATGAGATATTTGGTCACCACAGTGATGTGATAGCTGCGCAGGTCCGCCAGGGCCTCCACACACTGATTATAGGCTGTCAGAAGTTGGTTATTTCCAGAGGACAAGATGTGGTCTCTCAGTGAGGGACTTGACTGGATTTCTTCTATAAAGTCCTTATGGGAAGGAGGCATGTACTCCCTCATCCTATGCAGAAAGTCAGCTGAAAGAAACAAACCAGAACAGTGTCATAGCTCCACATGGAAAGATAAGACAGCCTATCTGCTTTTCTGGACATCAGTGCAGCAAAAACTTGCTTTCATCCTAACTGTCCATTTTCTACATTGCTTGCTCTTTTGCTCACAGATATCAAGTACTATTTTCTTGACTACCAATAGGAGCTGGGGAAGGAAAAATGAAGCAAATACATCTCGGATAACTGAGTTGGAACTAGATCTATCAGCCCATGTATAAATATTTGTCGCATACCCAAGGGGGGGCAAAGTATCTTGCTAATCATCATGAGAGATATCTACAAACATAAGGCATAAACCCTTAAACTGATTTGCTAAATACTCTGCTAAATTTTGCTTCCTAAGTGCTTTGTTTGGAGGGAGTTCTAAGGAGGAGTAAAGTAATAGAGTTTATAAGGGCAAGAAAATAAAGAATGACAAACTCTTTTTCGTAATAGGCTCTTGAAGTCAAGTTGTTTAAAAATCAAATCAGGGCGCCTGGGTGGCTCAGTTGGTGAAGCGACTGCCTTCGGCTCAGGTCATGATCCTGGAGTCCCGGGATCGAGTCCCGCA